ACTCCTCTTTGGAAGGTACGCAGTCTTTATTAATTCTCTGATAAATCCAATAGCTTGGCTGTGTAGATAGTGATTAACAGCAGCCATTCCCATTCAAAATCAACCCCAAAGATGTTTCAAAGTAATCTTATTTCGCATGTGTCATTTTTTCAGTTTGGTGTATTTCCCAGATTTGTATTCATTCTTGCTAGCTGGCTTAGGCAGTTATGGAAACCCTTCTTATTTTAAATAGAGACTTTTGGAACTAGACCTTGGGTCTAGAAAGAAAAATAAATTAAAAATGCAGTTGCACTTCAGAGAGGGAAATTAATCCTCAGGAAACAAAAATTTCTTTGTTTTTGTGGAAGGAAGATTTCAGATAGGTTTTTAAAATGTGTTTCTTCTCCCTGTAATTGTGTGTAGAAATTCAGAAAGCTAAATCGAGGAAGAAGCTTCTTTTGCATTTTGGGCTTGCTTTTGTGAAAGCATAAAATTGTTTTCCATTTTGTTTTGAATATAATTTAGATCTAAATAAAATTTACATGTCTAGCCAGAGATATAAGACAGTCCTGTAGTAAAGGACTTGTATAAAAATTAGCTTGCATAATTGTTTAGTTATAATAATGGTAACACTGTCTTGGGGTTTTTTATGTCAGAAAAGATAATAAGCTCTCTATTGTTTTCTCTGTTTTTTCGCTTTAGGTGTAATGTAGCAGCAGGAGTTTAAAATATATGTGCTTTACTGAGGATAGAGACTTAAATTGCTTAAATCAGGGACCACTAGTACTGATTACATTTACTCAGACTCTTTGGAAGCCTATAATACATGTTCTCCTGACATAGGCTTGTAGCAAATTAATGCTTGGGACCCATTTAATACCTGAACGGGTAAGATGAAAATGCGTAAGAGAAAGAGCTTAGTTGCCTGACTTCAGGTGCTCAGAAAGTCGAATTACTATGCACTGAGTCTAGAAGGCAGCCACATTCCTTTCTTTGTGGCTCTGCCCTGTGTGCTTGTCTCCTTGTAACCATGTATGGATGTAACCTCCACCTATGGCCCGCAGTGGGTCAGTTATCACCGTGCTGGTCCTGGTGAGTAGGGTTTGAGATGAACCTTGTAACATGTCTAGTTGCTGAAAGACTTGTTCTTGTGGGGAATTAGGGTAGAAAAGTAATCCCTAAATGAGTTCACTTTTATCCCCACTGCTTATACCCTTCCTTCTTATCTCACTACCCCTACTAAAGCCACTCTACAGAGGATTTATCACAAGGTGCCTTAGGAACAAGGAGCATGTCTGAAATCAGATTCATAGGTGTCATTAATCCAAGGGACTTCTCATTTCTCTGCCCATTTGAGTAGCAGAGGGACACTTCCTAAGATCAGGCAAGGAGAACCCCTGTGGGCTGATCCTGGAGATCTAAGCTGTTCATAGACTGCCTTGTTGCTTGTAAGATGAGTATACAATGGTATTTGTGTTTCCTGGCGCCATATGTTCTTTGCCTTTTAAAATCATATGCTACTGTCAGATATCTAGGAACACAAGAGGACTACTCCTTTTGATATGCTGATGCTAAATCCAAGGACCAGAGGAACACTAGACAGATATAGAAGAATGTTCCTTGTGGCCATTCATCATTTTCTCTAAAAGAAAATTATGTCAGAATCCAGTGTTGTGAGTGGTGTGTGCTTATACATATTGAGGCTGGATAAAAGACCAAAGCAACAAAGTTGGTTTTTTTTGGTTTGTTGTTTGTTTTTTTTTCCTTCTACAAGTGTGAAAGAAAAGACTGTTTCTCTCTTTTTCATATCTGGGGAAATATTTGATATGACAATGTCATGTAGATGATGTAGACAAATGAGAACTTCCTATCTGGCAGAATGAAAAACTGGGAGCTGATTGTGTTAAAAACATTGGCTAATTAGACTATGAAAGAAGCCAAGAGTTTAGCAGGAGTCAAAGTGCTACGTCATTTATTTAAATAAATTGATTTGCAGTAAATACCAACTAAATAAAGTTTCAGAAGGTACATAAAACTGCAGAGTTCAAATGTATATTGCAAGGAAGAGAATTTTCTGTGGGAGTATTTCACATTTGCCTGGAAAGTGTCTCTGGCTACTTCTTCTGAACCAATGGTGCTGTTGCAGCTGAAGATATAACATCAGTCCAGGTGGATGGTGGATCTAACTCCCCTTGGCTTTTCTACATTCTATTCTGGATTTTACATGTTGATTTCTCAGAAGCATCATACAAGAAATATACCCTTTATTGGGCAGGGAGAGAGGAAGAATTCTGTAATCCATCAGTGAGGGTTATCTGTTTTAAGCCCATCTGGACTGGTGAGTCAAGTCCCTTGGGCAAGACGTAGAATGTCAGCCACAAAGGCAAAAGACCAGAGCTAAGGAGGCGTTGCCAAGTACTGACCTTGAAGTTTAGGAGCTACGTTTGGAAATTATAAATAGCTGGAGATGGTCTCCTTGCAACCTCCAGGATGCCTTGGTGACTGCCCTCCTCAGAGGGAAGCAGGCTGCCCTCCAGTCACAGCTCCAAGGCTCTAGCATAGTCCTTCACTGGGGAGCATCTTGTAGCTGGTCATACCTTTTTCAGACCTCCGTTCTTGTGAACTGTGATGACTGTCTGTCAGTCCTTATCTGTGTGATGCGAATATTTTTGATGTCCTGTGATTTCAAAATTGAGTGCTAACCAGTTGGTTTTCATGGGCTCCCAAGGTGTGAGTTTTAAATAGAGAAGAGGATATTTTAACACAGTGTGGCACTGGACCTCTTGCCAAAGGGCATATATGAAGACTATATTTATAGTGTGCTTTCCTTCTACACTTGGTTTGTATTGTTTATATTTGATGTGTTGTGGTTGATTTGTAATAATATATTGAAACTTATTCCCTTTAAATAAACTTTTCACTATGCAACCAAGAACTTTGTTTTCTGTTTAAAGCAAGTGAATATCTTGATTTGAGGAACTGAACTACAGACTTTCCAATAAAACAAGAATACAATTAAACTTGGTTTTATGAGCAAAGAAGAGGCAAATACTCAAAATGTACTTTGCAGTGTACTGGACATTTTGGTTGCAAATGGATAGGAAAATGGTCTGTTGTCAGCTGGTGATGATGGCTCCAGCCAGGAATTTTTTCATCCTGTTAAAATGACTTGCTGGGATATTTTTCATGTAAATCTTCAAATTCTCTGCAATGCTTGCAATTGTACTGAATGCTTGAAGAATTGTAGAGGAAAAGCAAGTAGCCAAGCTCATATAATGGGCACAGGTAGAGTTTGAATATTTTACCCTCTAGTGCTTCATACTGGTACTTGTCATCTCCATTTGCAGAGATCCCCTATAGGTAGCTCTTCTGTTATTTCAGCTTTCAATCTGAAGAGCTAAAAACATCTCTTCAGTTACCAGATCCACATTGAGTTGTCGAGACGAAAGTGTTTGCCCTTCATAGCTCCTCATAGCTGCTTTGCTCATCAACTTTATCATACTACAAAGATTATGTTTACATATACTGAAGGAAGCATTTGCTGGTCAAAATGAGGAATGATTCCTGCAGCCAGAGTAATCCTTTCTCACCTATCTCATTATGAAGGTTGGCAGGACAAGCGCTGCAGGGGTTCAGTTGTCTCAGTTCTAGTCTAGTGTTTCCTTGGAGCACTTTTATAAAATAATTGATGGGCAGGAGCAATCATAAAGTGAGTTGATCAAAGGGATAGATGATTCTGCGAAGTTAAAGATGTTTCATTGTGTTTTAAGAACACCAAAGAGAAACACCGCTACAGCTACCTGATCACCATGCACTCACTATGCATCCGTATCCTTGTGCTTGTCTCAGGCATGTGGACAACAGGAAAAGTAAGGAAAACAATGGGGATGCAGGAAAGTGATACATTAGTTCTTTTTGGTCCACACTCCGTAATTTTTGTGGTTGGGCTGCAGCAGAAACGCTCTGATAATGAGCTGCTCAGCAAAGGCGTTGCAGCAGGCTTTGTTGGCCTTGCCAGGGAAGCAACTCTTCCCTGATTCAGCTGCACTGGGAGAATATTGTTCTTTGGCTGCTGAAGTCTTGTCATTGCCTTTAGTGGTGTTTGATTATCAACAGCAGTTTTCAGCTTAGGAGAGCCATTGTTAGACAGGTGGTATCGGATACACAATGGAGTCTGTAGTAATACATACACACACATGTAATTATTGTTTAAGGAGTATCTGCCACCATCCTGCCTTGCATTGATAGGAACTCTGACTGCCAAGTAAAAGAAGCAAGGTTCACACCTGCTCCTTTTTGTACAGATACCATCATTTAGGAATCAGCAAGCAAATTAACCCTCTCTGGAAACGGACATATGGCTTGGGCTCTAGAAATGGTGAAAGTCTGGAGCACTAGCCCTATGAGGAACAGCTAAGGGAGCTGTGGTTGTTCAACATGAAGAAGAGGCGGCTCAGGGGAGACCTTATTGTTCTCTACAACTACCTGAAAGGAGCCTGTAGCCAGGTGGGGGTCAGCCTCTTCTCCCAGGCAACCAGTGACAGGAAGAGAGGACATAATGTTAAGCTGCACCAGGGGAGGTTCAGATTGGACATTAGGAGGAATTTCTTCACAGACAGGGCGACTAGATATTGCAATGGGCTGCCCAGGGAGGTGGTGGAGTCACTGTCCCTGGAAGTGTTTTAAGGAAAGACTGGACCTGGTGCTTAGTGTCATGGTCTAGTTGACAGGGTGGTGTTCGGTCATAGGATGGACACGATGATCTCAGAGGTCTTTTCCAACATAATTGATTCTGTAATGGGTATAACTTGATACAAAGGCAAGGGGTTGGCCCGGCTTCGGAGGGCCAGAAGCCAGCCCTCCTCCCCCGACCGCCTCCTTGCTTGCCAGGGCTGCCACCGGCACCGCCGTGAGCGGGGATGGCCTCGGCCTTGCTCCCGCCCCGGGGTTCAAGCGCTCCCACCACCGGCCGAGAAGGCGCGGGCAGGGCGGGCCTGCCGAGCCCCCGTGCAGCTGTGGGGCCGGGGCGGGGATGGCCGGGGCCGCCCCCGTTGCCCTGCGGCGCCTTAATAGCGGCCCCGGCGACCCCCGCGCTGCCCGCCGCGATGCTGCCCGCCCACCGCCGAGGCCGCCCGGGGCCCGCGGGCCGCGCCCTGCGGGGCGGCCTCGCCTTCTACGTGCTGTGGGCTCTGCGGGAGCCGCCGCGGCGCCTCGGCAGGTACGGCCCGGCCCGGCCCGGCCCCGGGGTCTGCGCGGCAGCGGTGGGGCCAACGCGGCCCGGTCCCTGCCAGGGTTGGGCTCCCCCGAGGCCGGGGGCACCCGCACGCCTGGCCTTGGCCCTGGTCTCTGGAGCTGCCCCTGTCCGCACGGCTGCACTGCCCCGGCTCGTGGCGGCGCTCCCTGCCCAGTCTACCCGTTATTTTCATCATCACACCCTTGCATAGTTTCATCTTCAAATGACACAAGCCCTCTCCTTTCACCATTTCCGGGCATGTGTGATTTTAGGCCTGTAAATGTGTTTTTGTTTTTTTAACATTCATTTTGCTCCTTGATGTTTATATGTGGTGTTTTTCTTCCCTCGCAGCCAGTCCAGAAAGACGGGTTTCCAGGCTTGGCTGCCCCTGCCTTTGCCAAAGCAGCTGGTGGTGTTCAGCCTGGGAGACTGGAGCTGTTACTCTCCAGACACGAGCATCACAGTGGAAGTGCTGGTGTCCCCAGGTGTCGCACCACAGCGCATTGGCACGCTGGAGCCCACACGCAGGTTATGGCAGGAGCTGCTAGGATGTCAGGAAGGGCATGCTGGAAAAGCTTTCTGATCTCTGGTGCTGCCTGCTTCTACTGGTGTAGTCCCAAAGCTGCTCAGGCAGCAGCTCAGGGAAAAATACTATGGTCCTCCACCATAGTATTTTTCTCTAGTGATGCTTTCAGCTTCCTTTTGGCTGCTTTCAGGGCTGGATCTTTTTCGGCTTTGGGCTCTTACTGTCTAGGGTAGGAGCAGGAATTTTGCCCTGATCAGTGTCAGTTGTGGGCTGAAAACCCATGGTGGTCCCTTGTGCAGGTCTCTGGTGTGGGAAGATGACTGGAGAATGGATATTTTCATGGCCTCATTGAAAGAGATGGACAAAGGCAACCCTGTGAGGCTTGTCCTGACTGTCAATGGACAGGTAAAACAACTGACATTCTCCTCTCCTCCTGCCTGGGATCCCAAATGTTATAGTTTTTGAGCCACAGAATTTCCTCTCCCATCCTCTCCTTTTCCTTTTCTTTGCTACTTCAAGGTAGAGCTAACAAATGCGGATCTGAGCGCAAGCCCTCTGTGATGCTCCAGGCATACCCTCTAAACACAGCTTTGTCAGAACACCTGTGCTGCAAGAGACTGGCAGCAGAGAGCAGTTCACTTCCAGTTCCACTCTTTCCTGAGTCTTACAGAGTTATTTTACCTTGTACCGAAGCCCTTGGATTTAGCATATTGCAGTGCCTGGCTTTCCTTTTCCTTGTTTATTCTGTTGGTGCGGGAGATGAAATGTGTGCTATACCATTGGAGGGAATCTTTCCCTTGCAAGACATCTTTTTGCCCACCCTTTGAGGCTGGGGGCTGGCACAGTTGCTATGTCCTTTTATTTTGTCACATTTTCTGCCACAGCTGCTCCGAGGTGTCTCCAGCAGTACACCTGCTCACCCCTTCCTTGTCCCAGAGACTACCCAGTCACCAGTGTTTCCAGCAGATGATAGACCTGTTGGCCAGGATCTGGAGGATCCTATTGAGGTATGTGTATCCTGGAACCTTCCTCTTGTTATTTCACCCTCTCCTTAGTAACTTTCCCCCTCGCCAGTGGCCATTCACTTGATGTCTAGCAGAGACATTTGTTGCTAACTCTTTTGGTTAGACATTGCTAAGAAAGTTCTGGAGCCAAAGATTCACTTGTGCTAGAGAAAGATGTATTCTTCGTTGAAATGCCTTTGGAAAGGTTGAATTTAACGGTGCTTGGTGGGATGCTTGTACAGCCTGTTTACTACTGGCACAGAGGGCCTTTTTGCCCTTCCAGTTGCCTTGTTCAGCTGTGCCCAGCAGCCTAGAAGTGGACCGCAGCACACAGCAGCAGTTAGCTGCGTTGCTCAGCATCTGTTTGGCAGCTGATACTGTTGGCATGCTGGCCCTTAGGACTCAGTGGGAAGATGAGCCTGAAAACAAACACCATGTGAAACTAATCTCTGGCCCAGTAACAGACAATTCACAGTAGCCTCAGGCCTTCAGAGCTGATTTCATTGGGACTCTTGTCACAGGTTAAGAGCCAGCGCTCAGAGGTGGCTGCTAGAGGATCCAGGCCTGGGAGGAAGGATGTCCATGCACCACTGAGGGCCCTGGTAGTGCCCTATGCCCTGAAGCCACCATCTGGCAAGGTGAAATCCAATGAGACCTGGAGAAATAGTCCTGTCCAAGGACCACCAAGAGTCCACTCCAAGAAGCCCAGGAAAGTTTTATTTGAACCCACAGCATCTGAGAGAGATCTTGATGAAGAAGGTAATTCTGGTAGCTTCTAGCTTTATTCTACAGGTCTTGTCTGAATGATCAGTCAATGCTGCTGGTCTGCAACTTCCCACTCCACTTCTCTTTATACCTCCAAAGCATGAGGGGCTTGTCTGTGTTGGCTTGCAAATGCTGAGAATGCTCTTTATTCCTGGATCAACTGTTTGATGAATTTTTGCCTGTCAGGAAAAGGCCAGAAATAAAACATGGGATATTCCTAGCGTCAACACTTTGTACCATGACACAATATGCCTATCACTTCATACAAGTAAAAAAGTTTTATAAATGAAGGCAAATATCATTAGCCTTGTGTTACAAAAGAGTAAATTGAGGCACAGGAAAGTTACCTAATATGACATCCTGTAACATCTCCATTAGTCTGTTTGTTCCCCTACTAACAGCATGCCACTTGGTCCATAGAAGACATTGCTTATTATTACAGTATAGAGAATATGAAAAGGAATATATATATAATTAGCATAATTGTACTGACTTTTCAGTAGTGAGCAGGTAACTGCCAAAGGGTTTGGAAACAAAACCTTAGGCTTCTGGATTGTGAATTCCAAGTCAGCTCTAGGGTGTGACCAAGTTTACTTGTAAAAACTGGACAATTACTCAGTGGTACCCGTGTGAAATGACTTATTGGGACTTGGCTTGCTTCTCACAAAAGCAAATATAGCTCCATCCTTACGCTGCAGGCAGTATGAGAAGGGGGAAGTGAGTTTCCATCACGGGGGTAAAATGCAATAGTGACAGCATGATGGCAGTCGAAGGAAGTGTGCCCTACTCTTACCTGTTTTGGGGATTTCTTCTGATGAGACTTTATTCATGATTCTTTATTTCACACCATGTTTGTTGCAGTGAGGTAGTTTTGTGCTGGGGGTTGGAGAAAGGAAGATCAAAGGGCTCTTAAACTGTGAAGATTTCATGATATGTCTGCTGTCTGTTTTCTTTATGAGGCCATCTCTGTGTTCCCTCTGCAGATCTGGCTGTGAAGGAGTTGCAAGGTGAGGATTTGGTTCCTATTGCAGTTTGTCTCTTCAGTCACTCGGTGATGCTAGTCCTTCCCTTTAACGTCAAAAGCCTCTCACGCTTTGCCCTGTATCTCCCCAGTGATCAAGGGCAATAAGTACATTGTGTGTATATACTGTTCCTCTCCATGCAACTGCCATCAGTATAGGTGCTTCCAGTACTGTCAGGCTCTCCAATATGCTTCTGTAGCCCCTCTGAATCTCAGGAACACCTCTGGGTGCATAGCCCTTTGAGGAAAAGGGTAAGATGTGGAATAGACTTTGATTTAGCTTGCTCAGCCAACTGCAGGAGCCTGGGAGAGCAAAGGAGGAGGAACAGAGCAGCACGAGGAATATCTCTGGAGGCAGCTCCAGGCTTCTGATTGTTCTATCTTGGGCACTAACAAGCTGTCCCTGGGTAGCCTTCCGTCGCTAGGAGTAACACAAGGGATCGCACAACTGGGATATCACTTCTGGGGATGTATAATCAATGGACATCCCAGCCTGTCTGAAGTGGAAGCCTTGTGTGCATCCTACATCCAGCTACTCTGCTCACAATGTCTCTCCTAGTACAGCAGTTATTCCCCTGAGCCAACTGAAAAGGTTCCTCAGAGAGCTATGTCCTTTGCCACTGCAGAATGAAGGGATTGAGGCCCTTGCCTTCCCACTTCTTCCCTCTAAGCATTCAGCTGTCTTGTTCTCCCCAGCAGGGAAGGCAGCTGAGGGTGTCTTATGTCACTCTGCTCACAGCCCTGTGCTCTCCTCTCCTCAGGCAGTCCCAGCCCTCGGTGGTGCCATGCCATGTGCCTCAGTGACCTGGGGACAGCTGTTCTGATTGGTGGAGAAGGTGTCGATCAGCAGTCCTGCAAGGATGTGCTCTGGAAGCTGGAAATTGGTGGGGACTTGAGAGCTGTCAAAGTCAATGAGGGGGGCTCAAGGACAACTCATGAAAATGGGAGGGGGCACTTGGGGGTCTGTGCATATGGAGGGGACAGCAAAGGTGTCACATCTAGTGCGGTCACCAGGCTGAGCTGACAGCATGGAGTGCCATGTGAGGCTCTGGGGTTGTATCTGAGAGACCTCTAGGAGCTAAGGTATAACTTCCAGAAAGAGTTGGGGGAATTTTAAGGGGTAAAAGCAGTTTGCAGTCTGTGTATGGTAACTAGTGAAGTTGAGATAGGACTCCAGTGCATTGTGTCTTTCTGCACCTCACTGGTCCTTTCTTTCACCTTGCTATTCCCCTTCATTCCTTATACAGGAGGAATTCTGTAAGAGTTCCCTCTAGCCCTGAATCAAAGGAGAGGAGGAGACAAAGGGAGCAAAGGTTTTGAGTAAAGATTTTAGGGCATATTTTTAAAATCTAGATTAATCAAGAGCATCACTGAACTCCCACACCATCTCTCTGATGTTGCTCCCACAGACAGTGATTTGTGGCTTCCAGTGGGTTTCCAGCTACAAAACACCATGCCATCATGCTTGCATGGTCACACAGCTACCTATGACCCTGACACCAAGCGTATCTACATCTTTGGGGGCATAAGGGAGGACAAAGACTACAGCAGCATTTACATTCTGGACACGGTCACCTGGAAATGGCTCCTCGTGGCTGTGAGTACTGCATCTCTTCCCAGACAAAAGCACAGGAAGGGTGGTAGGTTCTGCCTGAATGTGGCAATCAATGTGCCTGTGTCCTTATTCCAGTAGCCTTGGTCCACTGTTGTTGCAGGTTATCTGAGATGCTTAGTTGGGTTTGACAGATAAAAGAAGGCTATGTTGAAAAGCCGCAAGCGTGACAGAAATCAGGAGCTGTGCCTACAATGAATGAAGCAAGGTGAAAAAATGGTTGCTGTGTCTGGCCAGGCTCATGGGTGGGAGGTACAAGCAGTAGAGGGAAATGGTCTCTCATTTTATATGGTGCCATTGAGAGTAGCACCAGATGCTGAGGTGAAGAGCTGGTCTTCTCAAACCAGGGACTGCTCTGAGCACAGCAGAACTCTGAGAAGAACCTGTTGGCAAGGGACTATCTGTCCTTTTCTGGGCTAAGGTACAAGATGGCTTGTACAGAGTAAGCCTGGATGAGATCTTTCTTCCATGTCATCTTCTGAGGAAGGTGGTGTGGGAGATTGACTTCCTTCTCTTATCAGAGCATTCTGGTGGTGCAGAGTATGCAAAGAATGTACTGTCTACTTGTGCAGCAAAGATCTGGCTGGGGAGCCAACAGAGTGGAAGCTGAGACTCATCAAACTCATTGCATGATGTGGGCCCCTTTCCTATGGGTCATGCAGCAAATAATGTGCTTCTTGTAATAAGCATATGTTGAACTATTTCCAGGCTAAAGGGAGGATACCAGTGCTCACCTACCACAGTGCAACAATCTACCAAAAGGAACTCTTTGTTTTTGGAGGAACTTTCCCCAAAAAGGCATCACTGGCAGTTGGACCCTGCAGCAATGTGCTCTATGTCTTCAATCCAGAGCATGAAATTTGGTATCAGCCCATCTCAGAAGGGGAGAAGCCTCTGCCTAGGTTTGGGTGAGAGTGCTCTAATTCTAGCCCTCAGAAAAAGAGCAGGAAACCTCTGCTCACCTTCCCTCCTCCATCAGTGTTATTCCCTAAATATTAGGTGATTGTTCTCCACCGTTTAGTCCTTAAAATAGGGCTGTTTTGAGCAATGTGACTCTCAGTACCGTCTGTCATAAATCCTGATGAGATTCTGTCCTTGGGCCGCAGGGCTACGGGTAGAGGCAGGTGTAGACTGAAGCTGTGGCACCTCAATAGAAGAAGCCAAGGCTAAAATGGAAGTTTTGGGAACTTGCTGAATATGTTTTATTCACTTGCTTCCCCTCTGCCCAGGCATTCAGCTACTCTACTGAAAAACAAGCTGCTGATTTTTGGGGGTCGGAGGACTTCTCTTTACCTCAGTGACATGCACATTCTGGATCTGGGTAAGAAAGTCTTGGCTGCCTTGGGAAGGTCCGTCCTAAGACAGGGACTGGGGGGGTGAAGCATATTCAGTGGGAAGGTAGCAATAACAGTATAAAAACTCCTGACTAGACAATGGAGATGGAAGAACTATGGTGTTAAAAAAAAAGAAGGGGAAAAAAAACCCAACACCACCCCCCCCAAAACAACAACAAAACAAAAAAACCTCCCACCAAAACAAACCCCCACCTTTCTGGGGTAATAGAGGAGGGAATAGAGAAAAACAAGACTGCTTTTTTTGAAGCAGCTGGGTAATAGAGAAAGCAGGTTGCTGATGTGGCAAAGCATTGAAGTTTTTGTCTAGTTATGAGGCTGAGCTTTTTGGACATTTCACCTGCCTTTTCCCTGGCTGTCAGGTTTCATGGAGTACACACCAGTCCGCCTACTCGCAGGACAGCCTTCTGCACGTTGGTAAGATCCTATTGCAGACCAGGATCTATTTTCTTCTTCTGTCCTTTCTCCTTGAAGCCAGGTTTAAACAGTGCTGGTGATCAGACCCAGTTGCATATCTCTGTCCCAGTAGTCAAAACACAGTGGCTCCTCTGCTGTGGGACTAGGAATTCCTGTCCTTGTTGGTGCCCTATGGTGCTGGGGTGTACAGACCCCTTAGTCTCCCTGGAAATCTGCCTTTCAGGCTAGGGTAACCTTTCTGCTGTGTGCTAGTGCACTGTATTGTTTGGTCTCCTCAGTACTTGGAGAGATACCGTGGCACACAGAGAGGAAGAACCTCCTGTACCAGGACTATGCTGGACCTAATGGGACACAATTGCCCAGTAGAACAATTACCTAAATCAGGGCAAAGCCCATCTAGTCTGCTATCTCCCCCCATTAGAGTAAAACACAGGACTTTTGATAGGTCCTTCTGAAAGAATGAGGTGCTCTTCAGGCCTGATCATGGCCTGATCTGCAGAGGCAGCTCTTTTAGGGTTATTCAGCAAGTCAGGGTAGAAGAGAAGCAGAATTTAACTTTCTTTCTGCAGCTTAGGCCCCCAACCTTCTACTGAAATCTGCCCATCTCTGCCTATTGCTCTGACTGAGACTACCCCTTCAGGTGCTGCTGTAGTCACCTTTGCTTTGCTTTGGTTGCAGTTTCCATGCAGCTCTGGCTGTTTCAGACCAGAAGGTTCTGATCAGTGGAGGCTGCAATGCCATGGGAGCCCTGCATGATGCCTTTGTCTTCCACCTAGGTAAGTGACTCTCCTGCCCTGTTTCCATAGCTGAAGGTGACTGTGGGGCTGCAGTGGCATTTCAGAACACGTAGTCTGGTCCATTTGTTTCATCCCTTGCACTAGGAGTGGGTTTGTCAGTATTGATAGCCCCTTTCTACTTCAGATACTCTTTCATGGAGCACAGTGATCCACCATGATCTCTGCTCTGTGCCTCGAGCTGGCCACACATTGCTTGACCTGACTCCCACCCACCTGATAGATGTGGACAAGAAGAAAGAGGAGCACAGCCTGCACACGGTGTTGGTCTTTGGGGGCTCCAACTGTGCAGGAACCTTTTACAACAGCACAGTCAAGATCAAGCTGGACCTAGGATAATGCAGAATACTCAGAATGAGCCTGAACAGCAAGGGCTTTTCACCAGCCTAAATGCAGACATGGATGGCAATAAATGAGCCCAAGCAATGTTGTGGTCCAAGTATCTGTATGTAGGTGAATGCCACCTTGGCACAAGAGACTGGAGGTTTGTAACATCTTTCCGAAGGCTGTGGGTATTGTTCTCTTAGGGTAGCTGATATACAGTATCAGACTGGCAGAAATTCCATCCCCTATGGATGTCTTGGTACTTGGGCTCGGGTGCCAAAACATTCAGTGAGATCTGATCTAAGCCTCCACAGGAACACAGACACAAAGATCTGGTTTTCCCTTCTTGCCCTACAGGTTTTTGGGCTGGACTGGAGTGCTTTCAACTCTGAAGGTGACTCAGGTGTTTAGTTTCATTTGGGATGAGTGGAATGGGATTTACTCCTGCCACTTGGAAAGTCTTCATAGTGAAAGTATGATTCTGGTTTCAAGGGAACCTGAGTGGGATTCCCTTAGGCAATAGTCTGCAGCTGAAAACTAGGAAAACACCTGGAACAGTGTTTGAGGGAAAAGGAATGTAATTTTCAGTGTATGGGAGAAAGCTGTTTGTGCCTTGCTGACTATGGCACAATCATTTAGTGTTGCTCTAGACAGACCTTTATGATAAATTCTGTGCGACTGCTGCTATAAGGAATAGGTACAAGTCCTCTCTCCCAGGTAGTAATTCTCTTATGTGCAAGGGGTGGCAGAGTTGCTGACTTAGCTCTTTCAAGATCCATGAGACCCAACAAAGGTTAGGATTAAGCTGTCTTCCATCAGAGACTCTTACTGTTTATATCCATGGCACTGATGACTATGCCATAGCTCTGAGGCAGCTCCAAGGACAAGCACAGTGTATACACTGATTCCTTGATGCTCTGTCTGTAGATGGTAGAAAGAAGCTGCACCTATGGGGAGTCCAGAATTGGCTCAATGCCTCACAGTTGTTTGTGGCCACATTCCCCAACCCAAAGCCATACAAAGGGAACTTATGATAATTATGGATGCTTCTGCTTTAATCTGCTTCATGGAGATAGATTAGATAGAAAAAACTAGTAGCTGTAAGCATTCCAGCACAGGCATGCTCCTCTTAGTTATCCAGGCTCCTTGGAGGTCCTCTGTCCTTCTTCCCACCCAGATGAATGGGAGACAATAGTACTAGGGCTTCCCGCTGGCACTGAAGTCCTACTCAGACTGTAGGTGTTGTCTTCTTTGTCACTCCAGCTGACTAGATTTAATGAGTAGAAGGGCTTCAAGCTCGCAGCTCTGCAGGGGTATCTGGCTGCCGGCATGGATGGCTTACTTTGAAGGCCTCTAACTCCAAGAGTGCTTTATTTATTCTGGTTATTGTGGGATATGGACCCATGTCCACTTTGAATCTGCAAAAGGAAAAGAATTGATGAAGTACTAAGAGTTGGACAGCCAGTACAGCAGTGAGCACAAGGACAGAGCAGTATGCTATGCCTGCCCAGTATGGGAGAATCTCACAGTCATTTACAATAACAATAAAGATTTGTCCTCGTAGGTTTAAAATGCTAGAAAGGTTAATTAGTTCCTGGAGAGGCTGTGAAGTCTCCTTCTCTAGAGATACTCAAAACCTACCTGGATGCAATCCTGTGCCACTTACTCTAGGTGAACTTGCTTTAGCAGGCGAGTTGTTGGACTAGATGACCTCCAGAATTCCCTTCCAACCCCAACGATTCTGTGATTCTGTGATCTTTACCAGGCTTTTATATAATGTGCAGCACAGGTAAGGAGGCACTCTGCTTTTCCTGGGAATCATGCAGCTATTACTTGTATGTGTTTAATGCTTTAAATAAATATAGATGAATCTTTTCCTCCTGTGTGCTGTCTAAATATAAGGCAAACAGGGAGAGAGAACGTGGAGTGTGGGCAACCTCAGCTTTTCTAAGGTCATAGATCAAGTTTCCCCCCAGGGCCCTCTGAGAAGAGAGCACTGCTCCTTATTTCTAAGAGCTTCAAAAAGAGACAATATTTATTACATAGGATAATTCATGGAGAGAAGAACCAAAACTGGATAGGGCAGGCAGAATGGATACTTTCTAACAGACACAAGGAGCAGCAGAAGGCAAGGTCTGACAGCCCAGCACAAAGAGTAGGTGCCCTTGAAGAACACCTCAAGTTTATCCTTAATTACCTTTCAGCATTGGCAACTTGAGGCACCAAGCACAGATCAGCCATGGAAACCTACAAATGTAGCAGAAAAAAGGGGTTACAGTAACTCAGAGCCTGTTCCATCAAACTTCAGAGTGGTGGCAGGCTTCAAGAGCAGGATAGATATTATTTTATCAGCCAGTACAGAGGAGTTGTCATGGCAATCTAATTATTTAATTTAATCCAGCATTAAATAATGCAACAACAGTACAGGGAAAAGAACTTCATAGTAGTCACTAGTAGAAGAAGCCGTCAGCCTTTAGGGTTTTTTGGTGGTTTTTGTTTGTTTGTTTGGGTTTTTTGTTTTGTTTTGTTTTTTAATTACCAGCCGATCATGCTAGCCTGAAGGACACTGCTTCTATGGCAACTGCCTCTGAGCAAACAGGTCTGCTGGCAAGCTGCAGAGGGACGTGATGGAGGGAGAGTGGCATTTGCATGGCTGGGAAAAGATGAGTAAATATTGCTTGTTTGCACTGCAGGAGTATCAAGCAGCTCCTGCCAATGTCAAGACTTGATATGTGATAGAGCCTCTGCACACAGGCTCAGAGACTTGCAACCTGAAAAGAAGACTCAAGGACAAGACTGCCAGCTGCCTACCTGCACAGAGGCAGCTGCCCCTACCCCATTTCCCAGGTCACAAAGTCCTGGGTCCTTCTCAGAGAACACATTATTCTCCAAGATTAGATCTCCTAAGTAGCCTTTGCCCTCCAAGGGTTCCATAAGGCTGCTACTAGACAATTCTCTGCATCACAGGATATTGCAGGAGCCTTCCTTTTCCCCTCAGCTTTTATAAGAAAGATCCATTTGCCTGCCAAGCAGAACTACTAAATGGAAGAAGCCTGAGCTGCCTCTAGTTTGGTAAGGGTCAGAACAGCTTGTATGTGAGCTCTGTGAAATCTGTCCATGTTAAAACTGGAGAATCAGAGCAGAAAAATACAAGTTGGTTAAAGATTTCACAGAACAGAGGTAAGAACTGAACCCATGTTTCTTAAGCCAAGATTTGCCCCTGTGACTACACTTTTAACTGCAGATCTCTTAAAGATGAAATATATATCATCTGTTTCCACATTGTCTAGTAACAGCCTGATCCTAGATACAGCTGTAGAATCTGGCCATCAGCAGGTTATAGGCAGGAACAAGTAAATATCTCCGTAACTCTCTGTCACTCAGTAATGGCCTAAGTAGGATCTGTGCAGCTGTTTTTAATAATGGTGAAGGCACTGCATGTAACTTCAGGCACAGGATGGGGTTGTGCTCTGTCTCCTCAACTAATTTTCTTTCCTATTTTAGGGAAGATACTGGCATTTTTAGTTCTGTAATGGTACACAACACTCTCTCAGATACTTACTTCATCCCCCACACAGTAGCATCCAGCAGTGTGCTGTAGAATCTGCTCCAGTGCTGTCAAGAGAGGTGGTACACTGGAGTGAGGCATTGGAAATTCACTTGAAGAGGACACCAAAGACATTTTAGACTGATAATTATGAACAAGGGCATTTTGACCATGAACAGAGTATGAAAAAGGACCAATTTGGGACAGAAACTAGAAGGAACAGGAATCTTACAACAGCTTAGTTATGGGAGTCTTTAGGGTCCTTCAGGTTTTTTGGACCCAGGGTGATTTCAGTTGCTTCAGACAATGCAGCTGAAATACTAAGAGGATAATGTAGAAATATGTGAAAGGAGAGGGGAGAAATGCAAAGGTTCAGTCAGTTTGTGTCTGTCCAGAAGTGAAGGGGGCCTGTCATTGCAGCACATGGGGGAAATGGTTTTGAAGAAACAAAAAGCATCTTACCTCTAAAGAGATAAAAAAATACTCTGCTACTTGCTAGACATTGTTGGAGTTTGCCATCAGATATCCGTTGTCTGATTACAAAAGCAAATACATATATATATGTATATATAGACAGAACTTTAAAGCAAAAGGCACTAGTTTGGGAGCAGCTGGATGGAAAGAATTGCTGTGAGCCCTCATGCTTCAGAGTGAATCAACTGCTGCAGTGTGCAGGATGGCCCCAGACTTCGCCTCTTCCATGTGCAGCAGTGGTAGTGCCCTATGGGCAGCATCTTTCCTCTGAGACCCTGGAAAACTACCAGTCCTGGGCAAGGGACTCTGGGCAGGAAGAGCACTGTCTCTGCGGCAGGGCAGGACCACAGCACACTGGCCTAGAAGCTTCTGTTGTTCTGCTTGAAAAGTCAAGTAGGATGCCAGTGGTGCAGCAGTTTGTAAGGTCAGTCAAAATGCTGATAATTTTAGATGTCGGATGTACCTTGAAAGCCAGATGCAATACAATTCTGAGCCCATTCCGTTTTTCTCTCCCCTATTTGTTTCAGGATACCCAGGTTCTGCAAAGGCAAAGCAACCTCTAGGTTAGATGACTGTTGCTGGATGGATCTTGCCCACTGTGTCAAATGGGGGAGGAGAGGGAAGATAAGAGTTGCCAAGCCTGAACCCCTAGCCTGAGTTCAGTGGATTGGGTCAGCCCTGACCTCACCATCATTGTATCATGCACCTCGCTGTATCTTTTTCTTGGCACTGTCCTTCCGTAACAGATCCCAGGGAATCCCTTTGCCTCTGCCTTTGGATTGCTCAATTCTCTTCTTCTTCTAATGTCCTAGACCCAGCAGTAAAACCACATGGGTTCAGCTGTTTCTGGAAAGAGCCCTGGGATGTTATAGGATTTTCTGTGTTGGAAATACTGTACTGTTGTTGCCACTGGCAGATCAAGCACAGGCTAAGCACAGATATCATCTGCTAACTCACAAGTCTGAAGTTCTGCCAGTTGGCTGGCAACAATTTAAACAGACTGAGAATTTCAGAGATGGAAACCCTTTCTGATTTTTTCATTTGCATAGGTCTGACAAGGCAGTACCTGGAGTGGTTGAATGCCTGAGGCAATGTGATCAGCAATCATTCTGACTTGGGCTCTCTTCTTTGGATCTTGGGGCAGGAGTCTGGGGTTAGGCCGTGTCTCTTCGAGGTAATGAATTATAGCTAGCTGTAGTGAACAGAGAGATAATGGGAGGTTATTGGAGAGCCAAGGAAAAGTTCACATCCTGAACACCTGGAAAGAGGAGCTGATCCAAGAGGATACAACAGCTTTTCAGTGAGATTTGTAACCAGCACAGGGAACAGAATATCCCCTCTGATGTCTGCTTGTGACCTGTTGTCATTTAGTCTAGCTGTAATTTCAGGCAAATCCTGGCACAGCCATCTAAGTCAGACTAGAAATTGCTCAGTGAAAGGTAGAGTTATGAACCAAACCGTAACTGAACTCAAATCCTTGACAGCAGCTTCCCAGCAAAGACTATGTGCTACTTCTGTTCCCAAGTGGGATTGTTTATCACAAATGCCATCTCTTTTCCAATGCACAGATGAGAGCTTTGGGGGAAAAGATAAGGCAAAGCCATCCCCTCCACATGGGGCAGCAGGCAGGAGTGAATGATTAACAGGGATGGGGCTGGTAACTCACCGACTGAGAAAGGGTGATGCCATCAATTTTCAAGGTTGGGACTTGCTTCATTGGATTCAGTGCCTTGAATTCAGCGGAAAACTGTGGAAACAAACCTGAGCTTACTTTACAGCAATAAGAAATCCTTCTTTCTTTTTTCTTACCCTAGAACTCAGTTACTAAACATTTTTTTACCTGTTTTTTCTCTCTACTGCAATATTAATATTTTCAGTATGTTATGCTGTACTATTAGCCTATAGCAAACTCTCACTGGGGCTCAGGGATCACTGCATCCAGGGCCAGACTGCCTTATTGCTTGAGAAGCCATCACTGCAATGCCCAGGATGGGTGGTCCTGCATCAGTGTTGGCATTACTGTTCTAGTTCTCCAACTCCGCCTTAGCCCAAACTGGCACATTGAGCTGGTGGTATTACTAGGGCACAACTCCCTCCTATGGACCCCCAAGTAAGTTCTCAGTGAAGAGTTCTTCTACCAACCCACTCCTTCCTTTGGCAGGCCCATTGCAGCCCCCTGCAATATCATTTATCATCTTTTGGACACATGCACCCTGACACGCACACGCTTTCTGGTGCTAATTGAATGAGGTTGTGTCTGTGTTTAAAGTGCAGTGCAGGTTCTCAGAAGTCTATGCACCAGATTTGTTCAGTCATATCATGGTAAGCAAGAGCAAAAGATCTTCAGCATTCTGAATTCAGTCACGGATGTTTAAAAGAGGAAAAAGCCTCTATCTAATCCCAAGCCTCCTCAGGATCCCCAAGTTCAGTACCCTTGGAGACAGCAATGGTACCTCTATCCTTACCTGCTGTCCTCCATCCTTCACGAGGTTCACTGGCACCAGGTCATAGGAAATCCCTTTCAGAGCCAGTGCTAGGGAGAGCAGAGTGTACAGCTTCAGACAGGTAGAGTGGGACTATTTTCACTGGTAATGGATTCAGGGAAATGTTACTGTGGAAGGCGCAAAGGAGAAAGCCAGATCCACAACTTTGTGGGTGAAAAGGCTAGAAGGCTTTATTGAAGAGGAACTGAACTGAACAGGCAAAAGATTGTAAGCAAAAAAGCTCCAACATAAAATGGCCTCAGCCTTATATATGGTAGGGTAGAGAAGGTTCTGGAACAAAAGGTAGAGTTAAGGTGGGGCATGTAAATTATGACTATAAAGGAAAACATAACCATACATGGTAATGCACCAAAAATCAACCAATAAGAACACAGGTTTTACATACATCACAAATAAGGCATGATACATGAAAAGATAATATACATTATAAACAAGACACAAAATTCACAATTTCCCACTCCTAACATATCTTCCTTTTATTTTAATAAAGATAGAACTGATTATATAAATTATTTGTAATTTAGAGGGATTTCAGCAATAAAGAGCTTCAAGCTAAACATGGGATAAAACGTTAATTTGTAATAAGGAAGGAGATAAAAGAATTTTTGTTGAACTTTTAAGAGAGAATAAGTAACTTTGAAATAGATGATATTAATAAAATAATATGTTAAGCCCTATATAAAAATTATAAAAAGAGAAACCTCCAAAATAAAGTTTACCTGAGCTTTTTGGGCAGCTCAACCCAAAGGCAATAAGGGTTGCCTCCACCCCGAGGATGTCGGTTGCCTCTGCCCTGAGGACCAGTGTCTCCCGCTCTACCAGCTAAGCTAGTCCTAGCCAGGTCATGAGACCGTTCACTTGCTTGTCTACTCCAACTTAAGGTTGTATGGTGGGTACCTCCACTGTTGGAGGACTTTTCAGTACCTCGCCTAGCCCTTACCTCGCCTCCCTCTCGACTTGGGCTAGGGAACTGTTATGGGGGGTTCAAGCCCCGAGCATTCCCCTCGAGCTCTCTGGCCAAAGAATACTCGCCCTTGAACTTCTCATTATACTAACAACAGAAGTTCAATACAGTGCAAAACTAAGTTTGTGGAGATTTCCAACTTAACGATAAAGGACAAAAATGTAAATTTGTTAACTTTTTAACCTTAGCCCGAGCTTATAAATGGATAAGACAGAACTTTATCATTTTGAGGTTTTTCAAGTTCCCACACATTCATACTCTCACACAAAACATTCACGGAGGCCTCCTTCATTCACACAAACACACTCTTGCATTCACCTCAAGATGTTGATTATTTGTGGAGTTTAACCAACTATAAACATTTGTATAAACTGAAAAATAAACCATATGTTTAAATCATATAATTAGTTTCAGTGTATAAGTTCAAGTATGTAAGTAATTATTTCTGTAAGTTGACATTTTTTCTAGATTTCAAAGTAAATATATACTTATAATAAAAAAGTAATTAATATATGAAACCAAAAATTGTCAGGAATGAAAAACCATTTTTTGTTATAAAACTGTTACTCAGGTGTCATTTATCTTTATTATCTCTATTCCCCCTTTTTTCTTTTTACTGACAAGGTATACATTATCAACTACAACATTAATGTTAAACCTTGTAAAAGTCAGATTAAACGCCACTTTCAGTTCCATGGACTACATTTTTCATCAGACTTCTTACAAGGGATTTTGATGAGCATGACCTGGTCTCCCTGTTTCTTTTGTGTTTCTTACTTCTTGTATTTTTTGTATGTTGTTTGTTTCAATTGCTGTAGAAACTTGAATAATAAACTTAATAAAGGTGTTAACAATAACATTTCAGTATAAATCAGGTAATCAATTATCAAAATATTAAAACAATATATAAAATTATATAAGAAATATTCATTAAAATGCATGAGAACACATTCTTAAGGTTAAATGGTTGTTTTCAGTTAAGTAACTCGTTCTAGTTGTTGCAGAAATTTGTAGGCAGTCCTTGTTTTCTTCAGTTGTTATCTTCTTCGTTGTGATGTTATTCTTTTTTCTTTAATAATAAAACTCAATAAATATATTAATAATAAAGTAAATCATTATTAAACATAAAAATAACACATGAAGGTAAATAAGAAATACTTATTAAAATATATGAGAACATATTCATTTTCAAAATCAAACTAAAAAAGCAGCTGCTACACTCACACTTCATAAATGTTTTTGTTTGATTCGTTGGTAGAGATTTCCATAATCATCATGATATGCCATTTCTTCTACATATAACAGTCCTTGATTGTCGGGGACTGTGCTTGTAATTATAACAATTTGTTCAGTCTTTTGGTTTTTGGGTCTTTGAGATGTTGCGTAAGGGGAACGCTGTGGATTTTTAAAGCTTTTAGAGGGAGAAGTAGCATTTACATTCGGAGGAGTTCTCTTGCATGTTCTTCCCTTTTGACAGGCAACTGGTTTGGCAATGTCTTTGGCGGTGTCATCTACAATGGCTTTGAGGATAACAGAGCCATTCTTATAAGAATAAACTTGGACAGCTTCAGGCATGTGTGTCACCAGCTCTAGGGTGGACTGGAAGCCTAGGTCTTTGAGGGGCAGTGGTTTGTGGATCATGGTTATGTACTGCTCTTCCAGCTCTGCTGGCGTTAAGCCCTCCTTGGCGGTTATCAGTATGGCTCTCACCTCCTTCTTCAATACTTCTATGAGTTGTGCTTGCTTCACTGTGTCTATGGATGTTATTGTTTCCTTTGGTTGGAGGTTTGAGTCTTGTATGCCTTGTGTATTGTATGTTGTTGTTACTATATCTTGATTCTTTTCTTTTGTATCAGATTCATTTTTTCCCAATGCATATGTTTTAAACTCTGACTTGAAGATGGTTGCTATTTCCTGATTATAAAATTCACTACTTTCTACTAGTGAACATACATTAGAAATATAAAACATTTTATCTTCTAACACATTGGTAGATGTATTTTCTGATTCTATAATAGTTTGTTTATCTTCATGATGTTTTACACTTTTTTTGAAGAATTGATGAGAAGAATTGATGATGGCTAGGTTGGATTCTGCATGCTGCTTATTGGTTTTTATCACAGGGGTTAAAGTAGTAATATGATTTTCATGGACACTGCTATCTTGGTGGGTGTTTATTTTTAGCAGGCTGGAAGTGCCATGGGCATCACCACCTTGACTGATGTTTATGTCAGTCACCCCAGAAGATGATGTCACCGGAGGGTTGCCGAAAATGGGCGTCGTTAGGGTGTTACTAGGGACAGGCGTTGCCATGGTGTTAGGTGATGTTTGTGTAGTTAAAATGCCATCTTGGGAGTTAGCAGGGGCGCCATTTTGCGAAGGGTTACACGCAGTAGTGATCTTAACGCTATTTTGAGAACTAGTGTCAAGCTTGCCATCTTGTGTGTCTGTAAAAAGCCCGCCTTTTCGTGAGGGGCTAAAGATGACTCCATTTTGATTTTTACCTTGTGAGTCATCTGGGAAAGCATTACATGGACTTGGATTTTTATTTTCCATTATTTCAAATTGTGATTGTCGTTTTTCTTCCTGTTTTTTCAGTTGTAATATATTAAGGATTAATGTCCATGTTATCAGAGATTTCGAAGCTTTCTTATCTCCATTATTACTTGCCATCCACAAAATTTTGCCAATTTTGTCCCACTCTTGACAGTTTAATGTTTCTGGGACTGGGTCTATATTTTTATTAATCCATTTCATCAGCGCTTTTAAGGATTTTTTGATTTGAGAATGTCCATGATTCTTGATTAAATTTTTAGATAATAATATAACTCCAATTCGTCTTTAGCTGGGATTCCATTTTGATATTAATTTTCTAGGACGAGTAAAAGGGGGTACTTAAGGTAAAAGATAATTTTGTTGTTGCTCGCCTCTCCGAGTTAGGTGTTCTGATCTGATTTGCTATTCAGCTGTGGCGAGTGTTGGAGTTCAGTCTTGTGGCAGTTTTTCTTCAAGGGGAGCAGGTGAGTTCTTTGAATTTCAGAGACCTTCTAGTTGTGCCTTGTGCTTGAGCGCCATTTGTGGAAGTCACAAAGGAGAAAGCCAGATCCACAACTTTGTGGGTGAAAAGGCTAGAAGGCTTTATTGAAGAGGAACTGAACTGAACAGGCAAAAGATTGTAAGCAAAAAAGCTCCAACATAAAATGGCCTCCGCCTTATATATGGTAGGGTAGAGAAGGTTCTGGAACAAAAGGTGGAGTTAAGGTGGGGCATGTAAATTATGACTATAAAGGAAAACATAACCATACATGGTAATGCACCAAAAATCAACCAATAAGAACACAGGTTTTACATACATCACAAATAAGGCATGATACATGAAAAGATAATATAATACACTATAAACAAGACATAAAATTCATGATTTCCTACTCCTGACATGTTACCATCTCCATTTTAAAAAAAAGACCATATCCCTCAAGGAGGGTGATCTGAGTCCACTGAGAAGATAGTGCTCTTGGAAGTGATAGATCAAAGCACTAAAGATCAGTCCTGGCAAAACCACTGCATTTTTCAAAACAAGTTTTGCCACTCTTTGCAGCACAGCCCTTCCTGACTTGTCTTACAGAGGGCAAGGGACCATGTGCTCACCTGCAAAACATTGCTGTCTCAGTACAAGTAGGGGCTGTTCCCAGCCCTGCTTAGCTCTCAAGACCTGGGCATACCAGAGTCTGAGGCAATATATGAAGGCATCTGTTCCCCTCCATCCCACTTGCTCCAGGTAAGCTGTGGTGTTCCCTTCCCTCCCCCTGGGAAAATGCCTCACTGTTCCAGTTTATGTTTGCTGACCTCTCTCTTAATAAGTGATTGATTAATCGAATTGGTGAAGGGGAGGATATTGCAATACCACTGAGAGGAAAAAAAAAAAAAAGAGATCTCAACACTGGATCTTACCAATTCGCACTCTCCAGGAGCAGGAACTTCGGAAATAGCTGTAAAGTATTGGCTGAGAAGAGAAGGACAGATAAAATGGTTATATGCTGGGAACACCAGAGTATTGTAAGGAGAAGAATGCATGAGCAGAAGGTATTTCAGGAACTGTAAGACAGGGAAGAGCAATGTTTGGGGAAGAGAGGACTCCTTTCTGAAAATGGTTGTTCCTGATTTGGGCATCACTGTCTTTCATGATAAATACATGAAATAGACATGATAAAGACATGATAAAGACTCTAATAATTTAGTTGCACCTGATGTTTCCAGCAATGCACAAGTGACCTTAAAATTATTCCCTTTGAAGTTTCCCTCTTTCATGTCCCTATCTGATGTTGGTAACTTCTATACCACCTTAGATTTCTGAAACCAATTCCACTGATTGTGCCAACCACCTGCTGGATATTTGCATGGCACGAAACAGCTTTTTCAGCCTCACGGGGAAGGGCACAGCCTCTTTCCAAACAAGAAGAGCTTCTGCTGTTTGAGATGAAGGCCATGAGGACAGACAATTCATCTCTACATGAACTATAGCACCAAGGCACCTTTCCCGGATGCTTCCACCCTGTTCAAGCTCTTACCTTTTCAGATGCCATGGTCAGTGTGTGCAGTCTACTCCAGGAAATAAAAAAAAATCCCTTTGTTTTCCCTTTTAACTCAGCTGGGATGGGGGAAGGCTTTTCTCCTAAAGTCAATGAGGAAAGGACTATGCCCCCAAGTCTGTGCCAAGGACACAAAAACCAGCCAGTCAGATTTCATCCTGAGTCACTGCACTCACCTCCTCCCTGCCCCGATACCAGAACTATTAACCAGATTTAAGCTTGGAAGCACATTTAGGAACTATCTTTATTTCCCTAGCATTTCATCCAGACATAAATAAGATATCTAGAGAGCCTCTCAGGCTGTCAGCAGCTGCCAATGCAGAAATATGTCCCTGGGGAACAAAACAAGGAAAGAAAAGCCACATGCAGAATTTCCATTTCATTAGGGAATGACTGCAAGCTCTGGGAACGACTGCAAGCTCCAGGAACAGGGGCTGCCTTTGCAGGGAGGTCCCTTAGGATGCTCCTGGAGCCCTTCTGCTGTCAGTGCCAGCCAGTGCAGATGGTTTTCTACATTGCAGGACTAGGAGAAGCTGCTATTCTGCTCCCAGACCAACTTTGTGCAAAATACAAAGATTGCTTTTTTGTGTAACGGTCTTTTCTTTCCACACAGGAAACTGCTATTCATGTATGTCTCTAAATAAACCTGTAATCATGTCTCTCCTTCCTTCCATAGATCCCATGGCATGCCAGGGATCTCTCTGCATCTCTGCTCTCCCAGAATGCATAGAAATTATTCCAGAGACTGGCAGTAAGGCAGAAGAAAGCAGGGATTTGCCCAATGACAGTCTGTCAACAGAAAACCAGAGAGACACTGAAGATCCAGTCCTCTTTGTAACCCTGATGCTTCTCTTACAGTTTAGATTGGTTCAAATAAGTTTAAATGAGGTATGCCTTTGATTAAAGTACTCTAGCCAAATTTACTGGAAAATGGTTTATAAGTGAGGAGGGAAATGATGGCAGTATTGGCAACATTTTAGTGGACAGAGTATTTCCTGATTTTCTTAAATTCTCTGCTTCTGGGATCAGGGTATTAGAAATCTCAGCTTTGCTTTTTTTTTTTTTTCCCCCAAATGTCTAGCCTGTCGGGTTGCAGGGAAAGAAACAGAAACTGTGGCTTCAGAAGAGAAATATACAGCATTCATGACATAGTATTTTTAGTTATTTTTCCTGAGGACCTTGCAAATGATTTTTTGGGTCAGAAATTTATGTCCTTCACCACATCTATTTTGGACTCTGGTCTCTCAGCTGGTAGAGACATTTCTTCTGATCCTCTCTACAGTTCTTTTTTGTTTTTGCAGCCTGTGCTATCATTTGGAATAAAGTGTACTAGCCTAATTGCCTTGCTTTATAATTTCAAGGCCCTTGGGGGATTTCACCAAAAGGAACATGGAAAACAACCTGTCATTCAGCTAATAACTGTGTGTCCAGAGGCTGGGGTCTGGACTGGTCTCTTGAGTTCATGCTGCTTTGCTCCCAGCAGCAGGGCAGATCACAGGCAAAACCAATCATCTAAGTAAAGATTAGAGACAGTAGGAGTGTTTTGTCCTCAGTGGACAGGTCCCACAGTGACACTGTATCTTTCTCAGAGGACAAGCTGAGCACGGGCCAGGGAAGTATCAAAAAAGAAGTGCCTGCATTTAAAACCGCATGGGGTACAAGCCCCATAAGCTGCACATTAGACTGGCTGGAACTGGGATGGTAGAAGGAGAACAGCATTTGCTTGATGTCTACTGAAATTTCTGTTTTGGTTCTGTTTTCATTTCCAGCATCAGTGAGGAAAGTTTGGACTTAAATACCCGTTGAGAGTTAAAGTCTGGGAAATGCATTTCACTATTGTGGAAGTTGGAAGAAACACCCCAAACTGTGTGTCGAGTTCTCAGGTTTCCATGCCTGTCTACTTCAGTATGGTCTGCTCTGGATACTACCTCTTTCTAGGCTATATTCGGGGTGCACTTGGGAAGGCAAAGTCTTTCACCTCTTTCCTGAGACCCATGACAACAAGCAGGCTGCACACATACACTGCTCCTTGGGGGCTGGTGTAGGGGAAACCTCGGTGTCTGAAAGGCACCCCTTGTATTCTGCTGGGTTCAAATGTAAAGGTACAAGCAGAAACAACAGCTTTGCTCCTAAACTCTCAGTATCTCTGCGGCAGGCCTTGGTGTTAACAGTGCACGTGGATAAACTACGATAAGTAAACACCAATGCTTTGAGAAGCATTAGTTTTATTCAGCAAATTCCTTGCTCTCCACTGAGACAGACACCGGGGCAGCAGTCCTCCCGGGAATCGCCATGGCGGCCTTTCCGGGGAGCCAGGGCACCAGAAGCCGATTGCGGCCGCGATCCCTGCCAGCGAACCGAGCCCCAAGCCCGCTCCCTCCAGCTCTGGCGCCGCCATCGTCCCCGCTCCCCTCCCGCCCGGCGGGGACGCTCCGCTCCGCAGGGAGAGCGCGGAGCCAGCGCCGCGTACCTTGGCGGCGACGGCGCTCATTCCCGTCCCGGCCTCAGCTCAGAGCTCGGCGGCAGCCTGGGACTGCATTCCCAGGACTACATCCCCCGGCGTGCCCCGCGGATGCCCCGCCCTGCAGTCCGTGCCCAGGATGCGCCGCTGCCGGCGCGGTGCCGCGCGCGGCGGATCCCTGTGGATGCCGCCGCGCCAGAGGGAGCCCCGCCGGGGGCCGGGGGGGCCGGGGCGGCCGGGCCGCCCCACCGCTCCGCCGGTCGCCGCCCGGCCGGCCGCGCTGGCCCTTGTCACCCTCCTCAGCTTCGCCTCCCGCTTCCACCGCCTGCCAGAGCCGCCGCACGTCTGGTACGGGCCGGGCGGGGCGTGCGCCCCCCCGTTCGGGCAGTGTCCGAGCCCCGGGGTGCGGGGGTGCGTGTCCGTGTCCGCCTCCTCCCGGGAGCAGCCGGCGGATTGCGGGCGCGTTGCTCCCTGACGCACAGCCTGCGCCCCGGCCTTGCCCGGTTTGGGAGGGTCCCGTGTTTATCCCAGACAGGTGGAGGGACGGGACCCTGGCAGGGAGGGCCCCAGGGAAGCGGTGCTCTCTCTGGCCAGCCCGCTCCTCGCCGCCGCTCTCGGGACGTGCTGCAGAGGGTCCTGGAGAGGCGGTTTTGTGGCACTGTGGGCGTCAGGCTGACTTCTTAACATCTCTGAGGTCAGCCGGGAATCAGAAGGGCAGAATAGAGATTTTGGAGTGCTGATATCAAACTTTAAAAAAAGGGCCCGTCCTAGAATGACTTAAGTATTTCCCAGTAAATGTAATGCATCATCTATATTGAATGTGTGGCAGTAACCCTCTATATGATGAAAAGATGAAAAGACTTTCCTGGATTTTTTTTTTTACTGTCTTCAGCATTATAGAATATGGGTTATTGTTAAATTTTGTTTTGTTTGTGTTTTGTTGTTTTTTTTTTTTTTCCAGTTGGGATGAAACTCATTTTGGGAAGATGGGAAGTTACTACATTAATCGGACTTTCTTCTTTGATGTCCACCCTCCTTTGGGGAAGGTAAACTGCTTTTCTGTTACATATTTTAGAAGGCACAGGAGTGGGCCAATAAAAGTCTATTCTTACCTTCTGGACAAAGGTTGTGATAAACTCCATTATCTTTCCTGTTGTTGGGCATCATGATAATTTGCATTCTCTATCCACAACCTTAACTTGCAACTTTTTGTCTTTACAAAAATACTTCAAATAAGGGAAAACTACGGTATTGCACGTTGGGTATTTGAAAGGCTTGAAATTAAAAAAATCAGTGTGGTACTTATGGATTGGAGGGGTTATGTCATAGCAGCCTACATTTGAAAGGAAACAAACAACTTGTGATAACCTGTGTGCGAGTGAGATGCCTACCACAAAGGACCCTGAGAGCACTGATTTTCTATTCTGACTTGTTTTAGCAACAGTGTGTAGTGCTGATGAAGATGCCTCAACAAGGTTATCTTCCTTTCAGACTGAGTCTTCTGAACCTAAAGGGATAGGGAGCTATGGGAGATTCTAGAGAGACAGAATTGTCCCTGCGCAATCCCACACCTGCTATTTGTCTTTAGCTTGCAGTCATAGTCCATAGCCAAAATTGTCCTGATTTTGCCTTTAGACAAAGAGCAATGTGTTTGCATATGTTATCTATACATAAACTCTTGTTTGGGTGATATGTCTGAATTAAGTAGTTGTCCTCTGGATCAGTCTTGGCTTCTATAAAAATTTTACCTGCTGCTGGCTTCGGTGCTTTTTCCTCCAGTGCAAATTCCCTGACCATTTTTTTTTTCACCTTTCCTCTTCAGATGCTGATTGGACTTGCTGGCTACCTTAGTGGATATGATGGTACGTTTCCTTTCCAAAAGCCAGGGGACCGATATGAGCAGCACAACTACATGGGAATGAGAGGGGTAAGGTTCT